TGTATCCATATTATGATATGTATACTTTCTAAGAAGTACAAATATTTGAACATAAACTATATTACTTAAATAAGACAAATAAAAGAAACACATTATTTTCATGGTATAAAAATTAAATCATTAAAGAAATTCCAATTACTACTACTACTACTACTACTAATTCAACTACTAATTCAAAAGAACATATGTACATATTCGACTCTGCAAAACATCTGAAAATGTAATTTAGTCAGTTGGTACGGTATTAATATACAATTAATTATACAAGAATTAGTTTTATAATTGTTATTAGTCAAAAAGCAAATAAAAATTAATAATATTACTGTAAATACATTTCCTATAATGTTAGTCAAAATTAATTTCGGTATATTTCAGTGATGAATACATATACATATATGTATTTATACGTTTCTGCATTACAAAGAAAATTATGTACATTTGTTTGGCTTTTATTAAAAAACGAGATCACATATAGAAGGCAGTTATTTTTTTCTGAAGTTTTATAAAATGGAACAAGTAACAATGAGCTTATCAGAATACGCAGGCGTTGTGGCGTTAAACTTTGCATGCGCTATCAGTCTACAGTATTTTCCATGATCGTAAGTCTTACTGTATGTATATATAGAAAGAAAAAGTCGCGAATGGAGATTATGAATAAGAGTAAATCAAGAACGTTAGTCGATAATTTCATCAAAAGTTTTGATCGAAGGCGCCGCGTATTTAATTGCAGCGCTGACGAAATCGGACTCTGATCTCGATTGGACACAGAACAACAAAGATCATTACGGAAGGATCCTCATTCTCATTGTCAGTAAGAATGGCTGCCGTTTTCAGAAGATTCAAAGCCGCGCAGATCGCAGCAATAGGCAATTTAAAATTACCGTCGTTTATTAACAGCCGGTAGGCGAACACGATTCCAACAGCTTGGGGAACGCTTCTTTTTTCATATGTTTCGCGTATAAACCTACGTGACCCAGTCTAAGCGGCGGCGTTTTAGGGCAATAGCCACATCGTGTGTGTTGTAGATCTTTTGCAAGTTCACCGATTCTACAGAGTGACAGTAAATGGCAAGAATGGCGAAAAAAATCCGATCCAACCAAAGAGCCTCATTCACGGATGCTGTCGGATAAAGGAGTTATTTATGCTTTGCATACGCACAACATGCGACCTGATTCCGTTGACAATTACTTGACCAATTAGTAAGTGAATCTTTGTTTTGAATTGTAGAAGGTATAATTAAATAGAAAGTGCATTCGTAAGAAAATTTGTTATTGTTCTTCTTTTAAATTTATTTAAAAACATTAGATTTTGTTTATACTAAAGAAATAAAATACGCAAAGAGTTCTTGTATAATAGAAAAATGTTGTGGTATTACAGCGAAGAAACTGTTAAACTTCTAAATTCAAAATCTGATTTGCAATTGGAATTAGTTGGTTCATGGATTGTCACAGCTGGAGATATCGATCAAACTTTACATCTATGGCGATACAACGGTGGTTACGATAGTGTTGACCATGCACAAATTGAGTTATCTAAGGATAAAGTAAAATATTATTGAAAAATTTACTTCTATGTCAATATGTATAAAATAAAATAGTAATACTTTGGTATATCTTTTAGGCATATCAGCAATTATTTAAAGAAGGTGGCAAATACGTTCGATCACGCTATTTGCAATACTTATTGGCATTTAGCTACTGGCCTAATCCTACAAAACGAGATGATTCAAATATATATGAAATACGTAGTTATAGGCTCAATGCTGGCGGGATGATAGAATGGGGAAATAACTGGGCAAAAGCCATTAATTTTAGACGTCATAACAATGAACCTTTCGGTGGATTTTTTTCACAAATTGGCCGATTGTATAATGTTCATCATATTTGGTGTAAGTGTAAATTTGGTATTATATTAATATTTCACAATGCCTCAAAATAATTGTGTTTTAGTAAAGTAATGTGTAATTAAAATAATTTTAGGCTACAAAAGTCTTCATGCACGAATGGAAACTCGTGAAAGTGCATGGAGATCTCCAGGATGGGATAGATGTGTTGCACATACGGTACCAATAATAAGAGAAACACATTCCCGTATTTTAAGTCCCACTAATTTTTCACCAACCAAATAAGAATGTTATCTCATGAATTTAAATGCTTTTGTATATTTTAACTGATTCTTTATCTCTACATATATTATAACATTCTACAGGCATTTGTTACAATGTATATTACATTTATTACTGTGTAAATTATGTGCTCAGTATAAGAGATTGTAATATTTTGTTGTATTACAACTACTAAAATATATTTTAATAAAATTTTAATTTCTTTGTTACTGTAGTGCTTTATGATCTATCATTTAGGTTACAAATATTTTTGTATGTGAATAAAAAAATAAATTAATGTATTCATGGATTTTTAGAATTTGGTAAAAACTTCTTGAAGACTTTTTTAATCGAAATACATGATAATGAAAACAATTAGGCTTAAAAA